TGCGTGTCATTACACCTCCCCTTCCAGGCGCGGTGTGTGTAATGAGTACGTATCCCCAAGTAGACCTGTCATGTCCTGACCTGGCCACCGTGTTAGTCCAATGCATCTACCGCGCGGCCCGTTGTAGGGTGCGCACATAGGGGGTAGTTCAACCACTGTGAACTGCGAGGTCTAGCATTGGCCTAGGATTTCGCAAAAGTAACAGCTCTCAAACGGGTGAGAGCTGCATGACATTTCGTTCATAATGACGTTGTTAGTTGCATTAGCGGACTGTGATGTTTTGCTGATAGTTGACAATGTATACGCCTGCAGCAGAACAGGCTTATGTATAGTCGACGTTTTTTTTGTGCGTAGCTGTAGAGAAAGCTGTTGTAGGACACACCCGGAAAGTGCTGTTTAAATGAAGGTTTGCGTGCATGCAAAAATGGTCGAAGGCAATAGCTGAATGCCTATGAACAGGCTGGTCAGGTAAGACGCGCGTGATGATTGTTGGCTGAAATTCCATTCATCGGTGCTCGAGGCAGTCGAAACGGCTGATGAGTGACGCAAATGTACTCTTGCAATATGGACAAGTTTGCATTGGTTGAGTTGTTGGTGTTGGTGGGTGTCCATTGCGTCCCGGGTGGCGCTTTTATTTCGGTCACTACCAAGATGTCCGATCAGAGGAAGGACAAACTAGGTGTCGCCGTGCAAACACCTCGAAGGGGTGACACTGACTCATGATATAGGAAGTTAGTTGAGAGTGATAAGAATATGGGTGTTTATGATGTCTAGTAAATTTAACTAGGGCGTTGAACGCATGTTTATAATGAGGACAAAAATGACAGGAGTTGAGCGCTTTGATTTGATCGCAACAATCTAGTCTGTTTTGCCTGTTGGTTTATCCTTTTTTATCTATTACGTTGATTTCGAAGAAAACTACTTCAGTTTTGACGGTTCCTCGCCATGCCCGCTACTTGGTTGTACTGCCAGTTTTATGCGGGCCTTTCTAAGGTCTCTTGTTCCAATTGAGGTGCAACGTGTTTTTATTGCGCCCCGCAATGTTCACCTTGTCTCCAAGTCGACGTCGTGTAGACGTCCACACATAAGAGAAATTTGAGCATTCAGTCAGTAACCGATCGCATAAAATGTTAATTAGATTTAGAAAGACGTTTTTGATTAGGAAGGATTGCCGACGTGGAATTGGAAGATCAATTAACTCAAGGGATATTCCCAAGATATTTCAGACCCGTCAGGATGCCGGCTTTTTACTGTGTAGTTCAGCGGCCTACATTAACAAAACCCGGTAAGTACTGGCTACTTAAATAGCGTGTTTCTTCTATTGATTTTCGATGACCTCATAAATTGAAATGTTTCCTACAGAAAATGCGCACAAAAACGCAAGCAAAAATGTTCTTTGATGTACTCGTTTGGTAGAAAATTACGTTTCTACGAACTTTAAACCCAAAAGAAGGGGCGGGGGCATTCAGGTTTTAAAAAATTGTCAAATTGCCGAATAATTGTAAACCCGATCTGCAGCTACATTTGCGTTTACGGTTACAGTAAACAAGCTGTGTGCTTTCAATGTAAGGAAGACTACACGCATGCAGTTAAAAATATACCAGGAGGGGGACGAGGGGGGGGGCGTCTTCATTTATTTTGGACCATATCACTTGATTCTACGAACCACGGGTAGCTTGCCAGCTGCGTATTTACCGGTTTCTTTAGGGTATGTTTACTAGCCCTTTTCCACACCGAAGAGCGAGCACTGGTACGCTAAACAAGGCTACTTAGTTATCCCAAACGGCTGCCAAATTACAATATGTGCCACAAATTTGATTTAGCGTGAGAGCGGACCGAACTAGTTTTGGTCGTCTGGGGAGTTGCTACCGCTCTTTCCAGAGGAAAGTTTGTTTGAGAGGCCGGAGATTACTGAAAGGATTACCGACCCCAATAGTCCGGGAACCTAATTTTATTAAGTTGCTGAACAATGCGGCGATCAAGGGTGTGGTCGCTATACAAAGCGCAGTTTCGTAAAAACCGCCGAAGAAAAAATTACACACACACAGGCATATCTTCACATTACCACGGCGCATAACTGTGTGAGTCAAGCGGCGCCCGAAAGTATCCTCAGGTGTGTGAAGTCACCTAAGGGCGGTATGATGACTGTAGCTTCTGATCGTATATGCTCGCTGTCCTTAACAAACGTCCCGAAGTTAAACCGACATGAACATCCTAACTGAAATGTACACAAATAGACAACTTAAAGTATTTTGAGTTTGTGTACAACAAAATTGTACAATATGCCCATACAAACATGTATAAGCACTAGAAACCTCATCTAGTTGCTAAAATGCTAGTTTAAAAACCGTATATCAAATAAGACGACATAGACGTCTACATAAATGCGTCTGGGCAGGAAATTCGTCAAAAATAACGCTCCGTCTAAAAATTCTTTCATATCGACAGGGTGTGCAAAGGTGACAAAGTCTCTTCGGCTGGGTTACTTGCCACCCAATTTAACTATATATACATATGAAGAAGGTGCACGTTTCTCTGCTGTCGAAAGTGCATGCTTCTGAAGTGAGGCGAACAAAATCACACTGCTCAGAAACAGGTAGAACCCTGGAACCTCAGAGTGATACCTCTGGTGACTGGACGAAAACGTCCACCCCCAGCTACAGGATCTAACGGAAGTCATCCCTACATCGTCACATGTTGCTGTGAGAGCGATTATTTAAAAGGACAATTGGAGAACTTCAACACATCACAATTACC